AGATGTGTTTTAATATTTCTTTTTCTGTATCATACCTTCCTGGAACATAATGTATTCTCGTAATCTGCAGATGTAGTTCTTCTTTAGCTAGGGAAAATTTTCTTTTATTATATTTTTGAATATTTTTTCCTGTGACAATCATAGCCTTCTCTACTACAGATGCCAGCTTCTTTCATGTTGGGTTGATACTGTCTATCCTCCATCCTTACTGTATTTCTTTCCATGTACGCTCACTCTTTGAACTCTGATCAATTATCATCTTTTCAGACAGTAAGAAAACAAATATCCTTTGTCACTCTGTCTCTCCTACTGTTTTCTTTACGGTACTTAGCACTGTATCTGTCACCCAATATCCCCAATCCCAACCAGATATAAGCTCCATAAGGGAGGGAAGGATATATATTTTTTTCTCGCTGTGCCTAGAACAGTGTCCAGCATATTATAGTCTATGGTCAATATGTATTTGACTGAATTATCTCAAGCTTTCCCTTTGTGTTAGCAACCTTTTATATTTTATGCTTTGCTGTTTCTAATTCTATGAAACTTACTTCCCTAGCTTTATTTTCCTATCTCATTGTTTTGTCTTATTTTGTCTTTCATTGATTCCTTTTCTCTTTCTTTTAAAGTATAGTGCATTTGTTGTGGAGGATGCTCTATTTCCTAAATTTTCTTTCAAAATGGGTTCTATAGCACTTCTTTTTTTTTCTGTAGTGTATTTACATAATTTATAGGCAGTTCCTTTCCATCTTTATATTTTAATGGAATTATGGTTTATAAACAATTCTTACATGTTATGCTTTCTCTAATATGTTCTTCATATTGATTGTCTTGGTTGGCTGGGTTCAGTCAAATATTTACATAATTTATAGGCAGTTCCTTTCTATCTTTATATTTTAATGGAATTATGGTTTATAAACAATTCTTGCCTGACCCAGCAACTCTATGGACGCCCAGATATAATTGTGGGTGGTCTCTTGAAATTTTTCTCAGTCTGAACTCTCTGTCCTCTCCTAGCTCCTTCCAATTGAATCTCTCACTCTCAGGCAATAAGACCTAAGTCAGGAAAATGCAGCCTTCAGAAAGGCAGAAAAGACTGAAAAGAAATGGATAAGAACCGACTGAGGAGAGGGGAAAGGCCCTATCCAAAGTTCTGCCCTCCCATTGAGGAGTAACGGACAAAAGCTATTTGTTTTACACATTTTCCTCTCTGGCTAGGAGGAGAGCAGGGGCAACTTCTGAGTAAAGGGAGTGAAGTGGGGAGTTACCCCTAAGGCTATCCATCTCTCTGTCACAAGTAAAGGCACAAAGTTTACCTTATTTGGAGGTACAATCCCATAACATTGTCCTTGGAAACAAGGTATGTCCTTGATTAAACTCAAAACACCAAAACTCACTGCCATCGAGTTGAATCCAACTCATAGCGAACCCTCCTTGGGTTTCCAAGGTGGTGTCTCTATGGAAGTAGATTGCCCAGTCTTCCTTCCAAGGAGTGGCTGGTGGGTTTGAGCTGCTATCCTTCTGGTTGGCAGTCAGATGCCTTAGGCACTATGCTACCAGAGCTCCCAACATGGGAGTGGGAAGGATGATCATCAAATTTACCACCACCACTGCCCACAAGCCCCACTGAGTCTCTTCCTGTCAGGCAAGAAGACACAGGTCAAGGGGTATTAGCTCTCAAACCAACTATTGTTGGAGATAAATAGCTCTGAGTAGTCATAATCACCATTACTGATCTGCCTCCCTCTCAGCTGTTGTTGTTGTTGTTGTTTGCTGTCGAGTGGGCCCCGACTCATAGCGACCCCTCCTTGGGTTTCCGAGGCAGTATCACTACGGAAGTAGGATTGCCCAACCTTCCTTCCGAGGAGTGGCTGGTGGGTTTGAACCGCCAGCCTTCTGGTTAGCAGTCAAGTGCCTTAGGCACTATGCTACCAGAGCTCAAAATGCCTGCTCCCAATAATTAATCTTCCTTAGGGATTCAGACTGTGGCAAACTGTCATGCAGCTTGTGCACCGCACCAAGGGCAACTGGGCGCAGAGATTCAGTAACGCTTGTCTCTCCAAGCCATGTGGCCTGGTGTGCGATTGCATTTGCTCAGAGAAAGGATCTTTCTCTTTGCACAAGTGTGTCACCCACTCACTGAACTTGTACCCATAGAAGGGATGCTCTTTCTAATTCACATAAAGGTGTCATGTGGGCAGGCTATCACCTTGCTGGAGGGTAATGCGCTGCTCCTGCTCACTGCTCCTGCTCATGGGGATGAGCCTTATCTGTCCAAGGGGATGAACTTTAACCTGGAGAGACATCCCTAGATGTTGACTCAGCACTCCTCTGCTTCCTTCCTAATGCATTAGGTTTTTCATAATTTATCTACTGACCTTATTATCACTCCTATACAGCTTCTGGGAGGCCAGAATATAGTAGCCAAAGACTAATCTCAGTGGGTCTTTTGTCTACCTGCTGCTTTTCAAAGTTGATGGCACAATGTCGTCTGCTTCTTTTGTACGAATGCTCCTGGTGTTGCTTTGCTGGTCCTGCCTCCCTTATTTTTCATTCATATTTTTATTTTCTGAGATAGGGGAGTTTTATGATCTGGCTGCATCTAACCTTTGCATATGATTTAAATTTGGTCTCTGTGTTTTCACTTTATGTTGACCCTTAAACTTTTAGCCATCTATTTAATATGCAATACTCATGAAGGGCTCAAAGCATGTCTTTGACTCTCCAGTTAAAAGTTAGATGTATTCAGGTGTTCAATAAATGTTATTTGGTGTCCATAGGCAGTGCAAGCTTATCACATATTGTGGATGACATCAAGCTGATCCCATCCTCTGATTTTTAAACATTGAAATATGATTTTTTCAGACTTAAGTAAAATGGAAGGAACTCTGGAAAATGCCATGTTTCTTAAAATGATGCTTTGGGAATGGTAGAATTTGATATTCAGTAAGGAGTTTCCAACAGACATTACTTGTACAATAAACTTAACACAGTGAATCTGCCACTGTAGTAGAGGAAGCTTTAAATCAGGTTTCAATCTTGTCATGCATGGATAAATGTGCTAATATTTTCGTCAGTCTCTAGTGCAGCTGTTAAAACATTTTGGCTCTGCAAAATGTAGGCCAAATGGGGCTTCTACAATCCATGAGCTCTGAGTTCTAATTCTTATTATTTTTTGCTTTTCTAATTAGAAAACAGATCTTGGCTTTTATAGAGGTGAACACCAAGATTTACTGATCCCAGTATGTGCTTCAGAACAATAACATTTGAATTTCATCAAAACATATTGTTGATAGATATGTCGCAGATTCCGAATGCCTTCAGAAGCACGCGGAAACTGCAGCATTCTGCATATGTAACATTTAAGCAGGAAGCGAAAAATCATTCAGGAAACATACATTTGCAAATGATGTCTGATTCCAATGAAGACGGCAGCACATTTCTACCAACTTTGCTCAGCTAATCAGAATTTTTTTTTTAATCCTTAAAACTAGAATATACTTTCCTCCAAAGTTCAGCAAAACATGAAATATTTCAATGATTATTTTGTTTGTTTCAAATTTCTAGTTTGCTGAGCTATGAAATCTCAGTCCTCAATTCTCTTTCCATGAGCTACATGCTTAAGTTTTATAATCTCGCTTCATCATTCAGGCCTTCCTTCTCACAAACGCTCTTACCAGAGTCATTTAACTTAATTCCCTTTTTTGTCATATAGCTCTTCTTAAGATGTTCTATAAGGCTAGATTCTATGTCATTCCTCTCAATTTTGCCAACCAGCGAATATACAATTTCTTATGAAAGGTGTCAGCAGTGTAGCTCAAAGTTATGAGAAATGGGATTGACGCTCCAGAGTTTTCTGTGTGTTCACACGCCCATTTATTTTATATCAATTTGATTCATTAATGAAGCCACTTATCTCTTCTTTCTTAGCTCCTTTCAGGACTCTTCAGATCAGTTGAATTTTTCATGTGACAAGTCTTCTGACTTCTCAAGTGAAACTCCATAATAAAACTGGTCAGAAAAATGACTCACTATGGGCCAACGCTCAAACTAATGGGCTGAAATCTAACACCTGAGACAGAAATACATTTACAAAGTATAAGTGTTTAATCTACTTTCTATTTTCATTAAAGTTAATTTGGTGGCAAAACATGTATAATGGAAGGTACCACAGATTCTCTTCTATTCCATCTCCAAATCAATTAACTGAAACTATTCAATTGTAATAAATTCAGTATTGTGAATCTGGGAATAGGATGGCAACTAACAAAAGCAACCAGGCTTTATTTAAGTCAGAAATAAAATTTAATGACTTTTCATTGTTTTCACCAGTACAAACTAAGTTAACGCACTTCTGAAAATGGCACTGTCCTGTCCTGTTGTTAGTAGGAGCTCAGAAATGTTTGCTAAGGTATAGATTTATTATACTGTATTTTAATCCAACATGTACAGTTAGCACAAGTACAAAACCAGAGTCATGTTAACAAGGTAAAAACTGAACAATAGATTTGTGTACTAAAATATAACAATGCAGTTACTGAGAATCAAAACATCAACTGGCTGACTTTGCTTGTATGATGCACATTAACATCTTCTAGCATGACAATGCCACACAAAAAAATGTTCACCATTCTTTCATTACCTTTCGATTCCCAGTAAGAATTACTAGTTGGCAAATTTATTTTTTAATGGCACTACAGTGTGAATTCAGTCCAAAGAGCAAAGCTTCATTTTCATGAGCTATCTGATCATAAAACATGCAGAGATGAATCTTCAGTTCAGAAACTATTTCTATTGCTCAGTGAAGATGATTGTTGGCATAATTGTGGAAACTTTTTTCACTCGAATAAAAGCATTTCTTAAAAGCATTGGCTACGGCATGTAAAAGAGCTAGTAACCTCTGCTAAGAACATGGCAACCAGCTCACTAGCACGGCCAGTCCACACATTAGTGGCTGCTCTGAGTAAGCTCACACACTTGGATGGTGTGTCCCACCTTCCTCACTAGCTAACCAGACAAGGATCCTCATTGCTGGCCTTGACTTCTTCCAGCAGCAAATTCATCACAGCCTTTGTCAAATAGCTGCATGTTCCTCTTTTTCCCAGAGGGGGAGTGTTGTAAAAGGAAGTCATGTCATCCTGGAAGAAGAAAAGTAAGCAAGTTGTTTGGTTTTTTGTTTGTAAAGAGTTGACTGTCAGCGGAGGGGAAAAACAAATTCACAGAAAGATTTCTTTGTGGAGAGTATGAGCTGCCTGGACTGCCTTCATTTTCCTGAGGCATCATGTGAGCATATAAAACAAAGAGATATTTTCAGCAGTCTTCTCTTTACTGATAATTTTTATTTACTTAGAACCTTTTAACAGATGAACATGAAAAAGAGAGCCCAGAAGGGGACTACATTA